CCTGAAGCACTCCGACAGGTCATAAAACAACAGGAGACATATAACGTATCCCTGAAGCACCCCGACAGGTCATAAAACAACGGGAGACACATACGTATCCCTGTGGTACCCAGGAAGGTCATAAAACAACGGGAGATATATAACGTATTTCTATGGTACACTGACAGGTCATAAAACAATGGGAGATATATAAAGTATTCCTGTGGTACCCAAGAAGGTCATGAAACACAGCATGGAGTCGGGAAGTGATCTCTGCAGCCCACACACAGGTAATGAAACACAACATTGAGTCGAGACGAGATCTCTGCAGCACGCTTACAGACAACGAATAACAACATAGTGTCAAGATCAGATCCCTGCAGCCCACCCACAGATAATGAAAAGGAACATAACCAAGGTAAGATGCTCGCAATACTCAAAACAACATAGTTTAGATAAAAAAAATCCCGTTATACAGGATAAAACACCCTGTTATACGGTCTCAGATTATGATAATAACATTAGACGGGATAGGATCCCCACAGCATTCCCCAGATGATAGCAATGTAGGGCAGAGGAGATAGATATTGAACGGATGAAGCTCAAAATTAGTTTGCTTAGAAAAAAAGACATTTGAAGACAAATAGATATTAAATCTAATCATACTCCAAGTCATGATATCGAATTTAGATGGATCTTTTCAGAGGTTAAGTAGTTTTCCACGTGACATTTGATCTTAGCTAACTTTTCAAAATCATCTTTTTTCCATGTAAGTTGAAATTCTCAGATGATCTGAAAACATTCCATAGTTACTGTAGATCTGTGTTACAACGTTGTGCGAATTCTTATAATAACCTTCCACACATGTACGATTGTCATCTTTTAATATAAACGACAGACGGCGTCTACTCTACCCCAAGTTTAAGGAAGCTAAGAGACAAGGAAAGTACACTCGTCTGCAGGGTGATAAACTCTACATTGCTGGTAACTTATACGCCCCGCCTCATTCTCAGCATCCTATTCATCCCCACGGCGACTGTGGTTATCCTGCTGATCCACGCAGAGGACATGAATGGCATGTATCAGCCAATGGACGACAAACTGCCGCGCCCTCTAGTGGTCAATATCACGTGCCAGACCCCCGGAGTGACAGTCGCCCCCGGTAAGGAGACGCGACAAGAGGTCAACCCCATGACCGTGATAAACCAAAAGTCACTTTCAAGTTTACTTTTCTCAGTGTTTGTGGTATTAAGTCTAAGATATTCTTACCTGAATTTGAAAACTTGATCCTAGAACACGATGTACTTGTTTTTGCTGAGATTAAGATTGACACGCTGGATCATATTCAATTACCTCCCGGGTATGACTATTTTACTAAATGTAGAACTAACGGAGACAAAAAAGCTGGTGGTATAGTAATTATCTTTACAAAATACTCTCAAGTCGATGTTAACCTTCTCTAAAACTGATTCAGAATATGTATTGTGGGTAAAATTTTCAAAGCGATTTATGAAGTCTGATGAACATTTCCTATTGGGATGTGTATATCCCTCCCGAAAACACTAAGTATGGATCCTCTGAAGCTTTCAATGAAATTGAAAGGGAGATGATAAAACTACCTCAAAAGGGTAACAAAGTCGCTATAGTTGGAGATTGTAATGCCAAAACACAAGTTAAAGATGATTTTGTAGAACCAAGAGACAATTTTGTCTATTCATTAAACCTAGATGAAAATGAAAAATTTTACTCGTACTTCCATGATTTTGAACATTGAAAATATACAATATTTCTTTACATACGGCTAGCCAATGTAAAGCGAAAGTCAATAATTATTGAAATAAATTACTTGATTTCTGCAGGCAAAATAATGTGTATATTGCCAATGGTCGGATTGGAAAGGATGCAAAAATAGGAAAAACTACATGTAGTGATGTTAGTGGTATCGATTATTTATTGTTGTCGTCGGATATGTTTCACTATACGACAGATTTTGAAATCACGGACTTTGATCCATTAATATCTGATGTCCACTGCAGAATTGCTTTTAGCCTTTGTCTTTTTGATGATATATGTAATTATAATAACAAATGTCAGGAGAATGGAGCTGTATATACCAAATGGAAAACCAGTAAGGAACAACATTTTATAAAACATGATGTAGCGGGTAACCTACAAAGAATTAATGATAGATTAAATGAATTATTAAGTAGACAACAAGATGATGTAACAAAAAATTATATTAATGACATTGTAAATTCAATTAGCGAATGGTTCCGAAAGGCTCCGCTAAGCAGGTTTTGGGTATCAATAAATCTTACAGAAAACCGAATTCTAGGTGTGATAGTAAACCTTGGTTTAACAAGGAATGCTGCTTAAAAAGAGTGGAATTTAATAAAGCCAAGGGTAAATTTATAGAAATTATGAGGAGAAATTGTCAGATGAGATGAGAAAAACTGCTAGAATGGATTCAAAAGATTTCTGGAATATTTTGAATAAATGTGACGGATCTGTAAAAAAAGGTAATTCGGATATATGTATTACTGAATTATATGATTACTTTAAGGGTCTAGAAAAGTCTGTTTGTAATGATGAGGATTTAGAACTAGAAAATCCTGATGTTAGTATTTTTGATGATTACCTGAATAATGAAATTACAACCGAAGAAATCAAGTTATCTTTAATTAGTTTAAAAAAACAATAAATTCCCTGGTAAAGACCAAATTATAAATGAATATCTTAAAAGTACCATTGATGTATTTTACCAATCTATCAAAAAGTGTTTAATCTTATCTTGAATACTGCATCTATACCGGATACGTGGAAGATTGGTATAATAAAACCAGTATATAAAAGCAAAGGCGATCCAAAAGATCCGGGTAATTATAGAGCGACTACCTTATTGTCTTACCTCGACAAAGTTTTCACTTCCGTTATTAATAATCGCCTAAATAAAATTTCTGATGAATTTGACCATATAACTTATGCTCAAGCTGGGTTCAGAAAAAGTCATGCTACTGCCGATAATATTTTTGTTTTATATTCACTAATTTCAATATATTTTTCATACGGAAAACAGCTTTATTGTACATTCATCGATTTTAAGAAGGTATTCGATTCCGAGTGGAGAATCGGTCTGTGGAAAAAGCTTCAAAAAAGCAACATTACCAAAAAAAATTTTAAGTAATTTTTAAATTATAAGATAATACCAAATCATGTGTTAAAAATGGATGTGAACAGTCGAATTTGTTCAACTGTGAAATCAGGGTAAAACAGGGGGGAAATTTATCACCATTTTGTTTCCAATTTATTTTAATGATCTAGAACCTAATCTTGCCGAGAGAAATGTGCATTGTCTGGAAACAGTTGACAAACTTTGTATTGACAATATTGGATTATATCTCAAACTCTTCATTATCTTATATACAGACAATACCGTCCTGTTATCAGAATCACCAGATGGTTTACAGTTAGCTTTAAATGAAATTGATCAATATTGTAATACTTGGAAGTTAACTATTCACCTCCAAAAAACTAAAATTGTTATCTTCTCGAAAAGGAAACGCGTAAGAACCCCCCTTTTGTAAAAGTATACTAAATGTAAGAAAAGGCACAGCTAATTTCATTGTTTATGGAGAGCTGAGTAGATACCAATTAGATATTGAAATAAAATGTAGAATAGTATTATTTTGGCACAAGTTGATTACATCTAATAAGTTATCAAGTAATATTTATAAGTTAATGTAAACATTACAAGAAAATGGAATTGTGTCATTTAAATGGCTCTCATATGTCAAGGATATCCTTTTACAAACGGGTCTAAATTATGTTTGGTATTATCAATCTACATGTTCTTTTTCAAAAGATGAAATTAAGAATTTGGTGAAAAATAGACTTAAGGATAAATTTATACGGAAATGATTTAATGACATTTTAAACTCCTCTAGGGGACAAACATATTCCATTTTTAAGACAAAGTTTGAACAAGAAAAATACTTAACCAAGCTTAATACCATTGATAGGAAAATTATGTGTAAATTTCGTGCTTCAAATATGCGTTTACCGGTAGAAACAGGAAGATGGACAGGTATCCCTCGTCAAGAAAGATTCTGCACATTATGTAACTCCGGCATCGGAGAGGAATATCACTATTTATTTAAATGCGAAAACGAATCAGTAAAACGTCTAAGAGAAAAATATATACCAAAATATTACTTTACTTACCAAAGTCATGTCAAAATGCAAGGATTGTTTAACATATTCAATGTTAAAATATTTACAAGAATTTGTAGATTTATAGAAAAACTTGATAAATTGTTGATTTAAGTGTTCAAATTTAAGTACTAGATTGTTAATACATAAATGCAATAGTTAGTAATTATTACTATCATTTACAGAAATTGTTGTAATTGTACCTGTTATACGCCACGTATCATGTAAATTATATGTATGTGACCTCTTGTTACACGCGTGTATCAGAGTGACTGAATAAAACCTTGTTAATGTATATTATGTATATTTCAAATCAAGACTTCATTCCATCAAACTTTATACATCAATTACTATATCTCATTCCTTTCAATAGGTTGATATTAGTACTGAATGGAAGTCAGATTACTAGGTGATAGTGGTGGTATGTCACAGATAGCATGACCTTAGGCAATAGAACTGTTCTTAATTGGTTGCCAACCGCCCTGTAAGTTTATGTTATGAATTTTATTTACAAGATATAAAATATTTGACTCGACATGGTCATGTGAATATTTCTTAAAAGAAAGTCTCCTCGTCAACATTAATTGCAATTTTGTACTGCATTTTGTAGGTATAAAATATCACGTGAGGTCGACCCAGGGGCTGTGATAGTGTTGTATGTGTAAACATTAATATCGTACTGGTGAGAGTACTTAGAGTCCATGGTTTCCATGGACAACAAGTCACATGGAAATTATAAACTCGTGTAAGGCATCGAGATCATACAGCTCCATCGTGTAACAATATCGTGCGCAAAGACAAGACGGATCATCATGGAGTCTCTTTCCTCCGTGTTCTCTATCTTCATTCTGTTCCATTTGCAGTGTGTGATGACTGAACAAGCAGAGGTTGTTTATCAATGGAAATCCTTAGATTACTCATGGCCAAATGACACTACCAAACAACAGTTCATCACTGACAAGCGATTCATTGCGGAAAATAATATCATTACTGGAGTGAAAGTATTGGATGGAAGCGTTTATGTGACCGTGCCAAGATGGAAACCAGGGATCCCATCGACGCTCAACAAAGTAATCAATAATCAAGTTGATACGGATGAACACATTTTAGAACCATACCCAAATTGGAAGATGCAAACGGTCGGGGATTGTGACGCGCTTCAGTATGTCCAAAGCATGGAGATTGACCCAAATACTGGATACATGTGGATAATAGATTCTGGACGGATCGATCGCCTCACTGGTCAGCCACGAGACCTTTGTCAGGCTAAATTGGTCATTTACGACATTCGAAACGACCAACTCGTCCACGTGCACAGGTTTCCCGATAATGTTGTTTCAAGAACGTCTAATTTTATGAACGATATCGTTTTGGATTACGTAAATGGCGCTGCCTCATTTGCATATATCACGGACACTTCCGACGCCAGATTGTATGTATATGACTTTATACGTGATAGGTCATACTTTTTTAAACATCCCTCAATGGGATTCGAACCGGGAACCGAGATAATAAAGATCGGGAACAGTTTTGTGACAACGAGGGCTTCGATTGATGGAATAGCTATGAGTTCTGACTTCCGCTTCCTTTACTTCTGCGCATTGAATGGTTACACGCTATATAGGGTGTCAACGACAATACTTAGAGATCCATCGTCAGTCTTTTCTGTTGAAAACGTTGGCCGAAAAACTGACCTCAGTGATGGTATGGTGTTTACAGATAAGGGTTTGTACTACGGAGGCTTGACCAAGAATGCAGTATATAAGTGGTCAGTAGGTCAGGATAAGATCAACCCATTTAATCAAAAGCTAGTCATTTCCAACAATAGTAGTCTTCGATGGGTCGACACCTTCGCCATGGACGACCGCCAGAATCTTTGGCTGGTTGCTAACAGTTTGGACTTGTTCTTCACAAGAAGAAGAAATCTAACACAAACTAATATGTATATTTGGAAAATACCAGTAGGAGAAAACGGATATCTCTCAGGCGCTGTATCGCGGACAAAAGAAAATATTTCCAACGGACACACCGATAATACAGGGTGTGATACAGTTCTTGTGTCATTACTGGTTGTATTGACCATGTCATTCACAAACCAATAAATCTTTGTTAACATTTAAAAGTTCATTTATTCAAAGAGGTCGATATCAAAATTAAACATGCCACGTATGACATTTTCTATATATGTGTTTACAACAATAAGACCATGTTCCTATTTATGTGAAAAGTGTTTAGTCTTCTAAACAAATATTTAGTTTCCTTTCGTCATAATTATCTAATTGGTGTCTGTTGTATGCCTTTATCATCAACAAAAAAGAACTTCACCGAATGATGATAGATTAAAAAAAAAATTCGATCATGTATAAAAACTTACAAATTCTATTATTTTTTTACATTTATTCTGATAAATTAGAAACAGCATTTAAATTCAAAGGATTTTGTTTTCTGTCGAGAGTGACGTCATTACATTGTTACTTATTAATCAATAACGGTATCTGCAGTTGTCCGTGTAGGAGACGAGGAAAAATATCCCTGATGTATCTAACTCAATGTCGTTAGATCCAACTTATAATGGAACACTTGCTGTAGATCAAGTATGGTTTCTTTGATGTCTTGTACCAAGATGGCATTGAAGAGACTAAGACAGATCTACTACACTCAATAGCGAAACTTAGTACATTGAATCATCTCCTCCATGGTCTAAAGCAGACTTTGATTGTTTTTGATTTGAAATAGTAGGATAATATGCAAGACCCAAACAGAATAACACATTTCAACGTGATTGAAGTAATCGCTAAACTGTATTCCAAATAAGGAAATATACTTATCTAGAGGTACAAATAGCACCCTGTATGAGGGACTAGAAATTAAAGATAAAACCTGCGCAAATACCGAAACATTGACAGAGAGTTTTCTTTGGCTCATAATTCAACCAATCTCATCAGTTGTGGGTGTTAGATATTTCTAAAAGGGGGACCTGACTTAAGAAAAAGCATTTAATAAAAAAACACTAGACTGTTCCTCCTAAATACTCCAGGAATTTAAACAGAAATGCATTATCAGATCTACCCGGATATGAGTCTTACGTGACATGCATTTGTAGAAGAATAAAAAATTGTTGCATGTGATATCCAAGTGCAAATCCGAATGCGGATTATTACATAACCCACGACAACCAACACTGAATAAGTTTAAAATTTCAGAGTTGTCTTGAATGGTAGCGTATGTATAGGTATGTGAGCGAACCAACCTTCTCTATGACTGTCCGAAACTGAGCGTTTGTTTTTACTATTCTTATAAAAATAATTACTTATAAAATCTAGTGAATCAGATATTGTCTCCCCTAGGAACACTGGTGGCCATTTTATCTACAGGTGTCTACTTGATACCCTCCATATTCCACATGATTTGATAACACACCCTCTTCTCAAGCGAACACTAATTAATTGTCAATAGACCCTTTGATGCGTCTAAAAGTATAACTTTTACAACAGATGTTAAGAACACTTGATTGTTTATTTGGTTTATTGTCCCGTGAACAGCCAGAATCAATGAACAACATATGAGAGGCCCATCGGGTGTTGTCTAAAGCAAGCAGGGTAAAGTTGCTTGCCAAAAGAAACAAACACGACAGTATACCCCGGTTCTTTTCTCAGCCTCAAGGGAGCATCGAACCGCGCCCTCGGATGTTTACCTGAGGTAAACACTTGGCATTGCAGATCAAATTTGTCGACAATATGCACTAATGTAGCCCTCTATTCCAGCATGCTCTGGTTTAACGGTCGCTTTTCCGACCTATCTACTTTTCACCTCCACACCTCTTTCAGACTAGACATTGTGAGAATAAAAATACTGAGAAAATGAAACGAATTCTTAAAATAAGAAAAAAAAATCTAATGTACCTCCTGTTGTCTAGCTTTAATTCACTTGCACCAATCACCACTTTATATAGTGTAAGCCATCTTTATGACCCGGACGTTTAATTCCAAATATTTACTTGGAAGTATTTTTAAACGTGGGTTCATTAAGTTTTACAATTCGTTTCTTAGTAGAGTCATAGTGAAAAAACCCGGATGAGTTTCAATGATGCTCACCTCATAGAGACAGAGAACCGAAAACACTTGACTATGATATATACAGATACTTTAAATTTATCCGGGTATAGGTAACTATTCTTTGATGAAGTGTTTGTAATGCAAACAGAAATTCTTCTGAAGGAGGGACCATATGTCCGTGAAGAGCCGGGAACGTTTAAGGAAAATTCGAACACGCGCTATTTATTTTCCCTGTCGTAAACCGAACGTAGGTCACTTTGTTTGATGTCCCCATCTGATGTGGCATAGGCTATATGTTACGTAAACATTGTTACTGTAAAATCATTGATTTCGCGAGATTATATTTTCGCTGATTTCGTGGGTACGTTAATTCAGGAATACATGCAATCGCGAATTTTTAAAATTAGATAATTTTTGAGCCACTATATATATCATCGAAATCAAGTATCGACAAAAAAGTCATTGCTTGAAAAACCAAGAAAATCTAACCTGTTGTAAATATTTCACAGTATCGTTTGACATGATGAAATATATTTCTACTTTGTCTTTCGACTTTACTACCTTAACACCAGAGTTTTCATCCAATCAGAACACGATACAATAGAGCACGTTCAGTCAAGGGAATGATTATTATCCAATATAAAATTGTGTATTTCTAACATATTTCGCATGTTGGTAGTTTTTCTTCGTCCTCGCAACATGCAATCGTGTTCACTTGAAGACAAGTGTCTACAGATAAATTGATCAGTGATTCACGCTTCATAACGCAATCACACTGAAATCACATATCATGCACGAGGAAGCATTAATTAATTCTCTAACTATCACACCAATTGAATCATGTTTATAATAATATAGATACGATATTTTTTTTCAAAACTAGATGCATGGATTGTCAAGAAAAACACTTAAGAGTGAAAAGCACAGAAATGAAGAGCAGATATGAGAGCAAAGTCAATGTGCCAAGTGTTGCCATAGGGGCAACATATTTATTTCAGTTTTTTCAATGACACAATGTTAAGGCGACAAACAATATTGCTTGCAAAATTGCTGGTAACCAAGAATTCCTACCCACAAGATATCTAACATTTCCATTTACACATCAAAAGAAAAAATCATGGAAGCTGAGAGCAATGAGCAATTTTCATAATGTGTCATCTTATGAAGAGAAAGGGGAAACTAGAGGTAATTTTCAAATTTGAGGGTGCCTTGGTACCCTCAATGCTTACCAGCACTTTCCAATAGAAAAGGAAATAAGGAAGTCCGAACGCGGCATGATTATCGTGATTTTGATGTCAGCCAGACTGTTAAGATAACATCCTGCTTGTCTATTCAAGTGTTGCATCTCTACTTTTAAGGTTTTTGTATCCGTCACTGAACTGTGTCTAAAGGATTCTAGCTGTCTTGTATTTTATCGACGTAAAACTAACTCGAGATAATCTCTGTTTGTGTTGTTAGTTCATTTAAAGTGTGTCTATATTTAACAATTACATCACGACTATTTTAGTGGGGTACCTCGCTGTGTCATTACCAGGAGACAAAATCAAAGCCTTGAGCCGATCGGTTGCGATGTCCTACCGGATCTAGACTAAGGGTGACAAATAGTGACGATTTCTAATCAGTAATGCAATATTTAAAATCGTTTCCGGTCTTTGACCAAGATGTGTGAATCATACAATTTCAACCTGAACTGTTATTTCAATAGTTGACTGGCTCAAGCACAGCAACTTTATATCATATTTTTGACGCTCAACTTTGTTTTGTTTAATCATAATCGTCGAGTATAAAAACATCATTTTTGGAGGTGATTTATTTTCATTGATATCGTCGGTGCTCCTAATCTATGAATTCGTATGCCCAAGAACTGTCAGATAAGATTGATGGGGTTGTATCAATCCACGAAATCAAATGGAGCTGATTAAAGATACATCCGGGTCCTTTCATGCATTTACAAAGAACATCGTAATCAATCAATAAAACATGTTTTAAAGTTTAAAGTAGCTAATTTCAACGGGAGGACTATCTTTCCTGCCTTAATACCACCGTAAAATATTTGAAATATCATACAACAGACGAGTTAAAGAAGCCCCACTGAGAACGTGGTTTAAAATAACTTTATTTAACCCTTTTTTCTGAACGATATCGAACATAAATCAAAGTACTGAAAGTACTGAGAGGCTAAACGCATTGAAAAATGTTCACAAATAACCGCTAAGCTATATTACTTTCCCCATACTCCTACACTTTGGAATGCAAAAATTATTAGTTAATAATTCAAACCAAGCCCCTAGACTAGCTTCTTACCATGGCGCCAACTCGCACGTATAGTGGTCTGTACGCTTACGTCATGTCGAGAAGGATTCATAAGCCGCCATACAGTAAATACACTGTAAATCAAGTCACGCAGTTACAATAAACTTTGAACTTACGGCAGAGACGTATCTCTGCTTACGGTTAATATGGTTGTTTTCTAGAAATATTCACAGCAGGCGATAAGAATCACGTCAGCTCGATCTTCTTCAACAGCACAGGTCGGGGATGTCCGTGAGCAAATTCCGTAAAATATATTGTTCAAAATTTATCAATAGTTCAACCACACTGTGCTTCTTTTTTGAAATATATAGTAATCGTATTGTTATCAAAAAATAAACTTATTGTGGATGCTTTTAAAATAGCGATTTAAAAGATCGCGGCATTATTTACGCAGAAAATTGCCGCTAGAGGGCTCTAACTCTTTTCGATATTTCAGCCAATGAGAAGGCCAGGATCGGTAAATTTTGTCTGAAAGGCCGTCGCAATAGGCTGTACGTACTGAGTACGTTTAGCCTACAAAACAGGATAAGAGCTGTAAGCGAGATCGGGCTGAAAATTGAATAATTCAGTTTACGAATTGAAACATTACCGCTGTAAGTCCGAGTCGTTCTGATTTCCTGTTTTTGAGGATGTGATGATTTCCGCAGAAAAAAGTTGTCCGTTTCATGGTGAAAAAACACCCCCTTTTCATTATTTTTGTTGTATAGCGAATATTGACCAACCGATAAAAACACTTTTTACATTGATAGTATTCTGCATGGATTAAAACTTCACTTATTAAAGTATTCTATATTGAAATATTCTATAATTTTATATTTCGTGGTTGTCCGAAAATATGCTTTTTTATTGGCACTTTTGTTCACGAAATCAACCAATGCAATAATCCAAGGCATTACTTTTACCTTTTTATCATTGCGTGGACATATAAACTCGTGATTTAGTGGAAATAAATCCCCACATATAATTTATGAGTTTACGGTATGTTGATTCGGGTCATGTTACTGATGAATCTAAAAGCTATGTTTCAGCCTTAAACACCACAAACAGTGCTCATTTAGTCTTAAATGAAATGCTATTGTGTGTTAACAAAAGACTTTTAGGTACAATTTGTTTGTTAGGGATCTTACGTACTGGTAGAATCCAGAGTAACGTAAGACGGTGTCAGTAAACGATGTTGCCACTCATGTGCTATTTCATAGTGCAGTCACACTGAAATAATCTAGACACGCTAGCTGCTCACAATATACTGACAACGGGCAAAATAGCATTCTTGCCTCCCATTCAAAATGTAATTTTAGTTATTTTTGGTATGTCGCGGCTAGAGAACAGTATAAATATCTTTATTAACTTAGTCGGACGCTTAAAACTGAAAACTAAAAATAGAAAAGGAGGAAAGAATTCAAATTTAGACCACTGTTTCGATTAGGCAAGGCAGGCTGTACAATACTTAGTCACTCCTTCAAGGCAAGCCATTTTGTGAAGAAAACATCATTGTTTATAACGAATATACACAATACAAAGACTGGTTAATTTGACGGAATTCTGGGATATGATCCACGGATAGAGTATGGTGAACTAAATACTCCATATATGGACCTTCCCTTGATCGACCACAGAAATGGTCATCTAGTTCATTGCAACCACTGACGCCGATGATAGACTGTGCAATACATGTTACCGGTGTGATTGTTACCGTCAGGTATTACCTGGTGGACAGCTTACCTGTCATCTCGTATCTTGTAAATTTTCCAGTATAGTCAACTTTTCTCCAGGCATTGTTACTGAATCACTCATCAATGCAATCTTCACATAAACACATGCTTAAGAACACACACACACACACACACACTCACACACATATTTTGGGGGTGTCGTGGTGAAATAATGGATAGGAACACTGGAATTTCTTGGCTAGGCGATTTGTTGCTGTAGATCGTGTTAGTATGTCCAAAATATTACTACAATAACAAATACACATGTCTCGGTAAAGACATCAATATTTGATAAATTCCTATGTATTTCTGTTTTGGAAAAAATTGTGGTATCTTTTTTCAAGTTTCCACATATTTTCTTCTCTATGGCATAAACAACGTAACATGGTTATGTTGGTTTACTATCTAGTGTTAACCTGACTGATTTCGTGTCATTTCGCTCTTCATCACCGGATATGAAAAAAAGGAAATATAGAGAGCAGATAACGCAAATGACGAGGCAAAAATTGAAAGTATCACATCATGTTATGGCATGGGGTTTGTCAAGGTACCTCAGTACATAAAACGCCACTGTTAAAATTCAATAGGATGTGGTTTGTTTGTTCTCTTACATTGATTAACAATCCCCCTCCCGGATCTACCTTAATGAACAGGCCTTAAGGAATACCAGATAAACGGACGTTTCGGGCATATATAAACGACCCTTCACTCGTGCACTAGTATTGTATCTCCTCATACAGACATCGCCATGTACCTGCTTCTGTGTGTCTGCGCTATCGCCTGTTTTTCGTTTATGAAAAGCTGCAATGCTGCTGTCGGTACACCGGAAGTAGTTTATAGCTGGTCAATTTTGGAGTTCGATTGGAGAAGCGAGGACCAAAAGCAAGATTATATTGATGATAACAGATATATTCCTGAAAATAATCCGTTTACAGGAATCAAGATCTACAAGGGGAAAACGTATATCAACGTTCCAAGATGGAGATTAGGTGTACCATCTACACTAAATGTTGTTATCGAGAAAAATGGCAAACCTTTTCTCCAGCCTTACCCTAGTTGGGAAATGCAGAGTGTTTCTGGCAATTGTAACACGTTCAAATTCATACAGAGTATGGAGATTGATCCAAACACGGGTTTTATGTGGATTATAGACACGGGGCGTATTAATATTTTCCCGGCTTCCACCGGGTCTCAGCTTCCTCAGAATCTGTGCCCGCCAAAGCTTGTCATTTACGATCTCAACAAGAATGTCACTGTTCTTAACTACGAATTTCCGGCAAATGTCGTAAATCCAACTACTACCTTTCTGAACGACATTGTTTTGGATTACGTTGATGGAGAGGCTAGATTTGCTTACATCACGGACACTTTCGATTTTAAGATCGTTGTGTATGACCGAAAACAGAACACTTCATACTTTATTCAGGATCTTCCGTCGATGTCACCAGAAAGCCCAACTGCCGGTAATATTACTGTTGGTAATATTAGCCTATCGGTGGGAGTTCTCGGAATTAACGGAATAGCCATCTCGCCGGATTTTAATTACGTGTATTTTGGACCAGTAGCAGGTGTTGGACTTCATCAAATTCCAACATCGCTTTTGCGCAAACGTGAAAGCAGCACCGCCACGTCATATCCGGAAATAAGGAAAGTAGGTGACAAGTTTACTCAATCGGATGGTATGCTGGCTACACAAGCTGGAAGAATCTATTTCCCGGCTTTGTCAGTTAATGCTTTATGGAGATGGGACATGGAGAAAGATCGAATGGATCAAGATGTGGCCGAAGGTGACGTCATCATGCAAACGCAAGAAGAAGTTGTCAGAAATGACGACACTATGCAGTGGATTGACACACTTGGAATTGACGAAAATGGATGTATCTGGTTTACGGCCCCGGCTGTACAACGTTGGATGACCGGTAACATGGATTTGACGGGTGCAAGCGGCGACAACTTCTTTATATGGAAAGTGTGTGTTAACGAACTTGGGTACCTCCAAAACGCTGACGTCAATACGAAAGCAGCGGCAAATGGCGGTAATTCTCCGGTTTCCCGGATGTCTTTATTTGTAATGCTGATGCATTTGTTCAAACACGCAATGACGTATATTCACCACCTAATTCATTAATACCGAAACAGACTTTATTGGTGGTAACTTTTAATAATGTCCCATACCTTTTAATTAATTTCAGAAGATGGATTAATAATGTGCTTCGTCAGTTCTTTATTTGTTTCATTAATTTAACTTTCCTGCTGTAACATTCTTATGTGTGCTGTGTGTTTTATGATTGTTGAAATATTTGCAAGCCTTGTGTTTACACACTTTCCGAGAAGTTTTTTTTTTATTAAAGCGATATTTTGTTATATATTGTTTGTCCACTTAATGCTAATCACTTTATATACTTATATCTGATATATTTACACTGTTTTAAACATTTCTTCATAAACGCATTACTTGTATGTACACATGAATGTAATTTAATAACAGTTCTTGTAGAAAACACCAAGATTATCATCAAAGTTACTTGTATGAATACATGTAGACCAAATGTACACTATCGTGTGATTCAGCGTATTTGGTAATTATCATACGTATTTTTGTTTGCATTGGCGATAGTGGCGGTTGTCTGCTTCGGTGGCAGGTGGCAGGTAAAGCATCCGCGAATTATCAGCTTCAAATTACCAGTCCTTGACAATACCCCGTTTCGGATTTAGTGTATCATTTCTTCTCACTGCCACGGTTATATTGTTATTTTACTGGTAAATTTAGCCAGTGTGAACGAACCGAAGCTTTAATGAAAATGACAGTCAGCTTCAAAGCATAGTGGTACGAAAGATAGCTCTTCTACACACGAGGTGCAAAGCTGAGCAGTTTGTGCGATACTCTACTTGAACCATTTTACAATCTTTTCCCGAATACCTGTTTATATATTGTTGGTTGTAAGAGTTATCTCCCTTCAGTAATCCATATTCTGGCAAGGGCCGTATCCCTTCATATCAAAATATACCTGTGACAGTCAGTTAGTAAGGATTGTCTCCTGCCCAAGTCATTGAAACTTCAATGTATTTATTTACATAATTAGAGGAACCCCATCTTAGTAACTGTTTACGGATACCGTAGTTAATATTTTATCCAAAATACTTTTACGACCTATATATATGTTTCCCGACACCTTATCGCATGGAATGCTATCATTTTTTCTTATGTTAAAAATAATTTACCTACATGTGAGATTGAAAACATGTCGCTATATAGAAAGAGTGGTGTGGAGAGGGACTAACCCTGCAGGCTTCACACTTTATCATCGTGGCCAACTCACATTAATCATTCCTTACCGTACTTAGATGACGTCATCGATGACTGACATTTCATGATTGGTGATAAATGGCCTGTCTCTACGGTGATAATTTGGTTTGTTTTATAAACTTAGAAGTTATATGTGTATACATATATATGGGTTGAAAGATCCGACCGAAAATGGTCGCAGGCTACTTAACTGATGGATAGGAGAGAACGACCTCACTATACATTTTGGGTATTATCACTGTAACAGGGGGACTCCTTAGATAAGATAACAATATAACAGCGCTGCACAACAACACGGAGGAAAAAAACATGTCGTACCCAGCCTTGTCGTGTTCACTGTCCGGCTTGGTTCCTATTTTACAATCTCCATTAAAATTTTAACATTTAAAGGAAAAAGAATTTCTTTTTCAATTCCAAACTTGTTTCATATATGTTAATTAATTCTCTGTTAATTTATCATCATATCGCTGTTGCTGTATTTATATCATAACACAAGGGGTTATATCGTATGGAGGAACATCCATAAAATGTTTAAACTTTTCGTTAATATGGGAAATGTTGTCTTACAAAGAAAAATACGGGGTTATACCCTAGGAAGGAGCACTCCAAAAAGGTTTGAACTTTCTGTTAATATTGCAAATGTTATATTATATAAAGGAACAGTTCTGGAATAAAAGCAATATTGGTTCATGTATTACTTGACGAGAGACAATCATTTCTTAATTCAAAACTGTCAACAAATTGAGGAGCTGTCTTATTTGCAGTGGTATTGCGATGTCCGTCCGTCTGTCTGTGATGTATTATTGATCATTTGGGTTTTTTTTATCGAGAGACGTATGTTTATGGTTGAACAAGAAACCAATTGACCAAAGGTCGAGGTGTCTTCGATAGAGCAACGTTCTTGTATTTTGTCAATAAGTTCTCTAGGTAGGAAGTTCAAAGGTCATGGTCACAAAGATCAAAGAGAGAAGACAGCATAGAAAAAATAATTTACAGTGAAAAAATAATTGATAAAAAAGTGTTACAGGTAAGCAGATCAGTTACCGGGAGCAGTTTTTTTTAGTATTATATTAATTAAACACTAAAAGGTAAGTTTTATTACTAAAATATCTCGAACGGATTGAAGTCTTCGACATCTGACGTCAAGTTAGGTCAATTAATTTTGTTTTATTTGGCATTACCAAATGTCAAGATCATAGAGATTAAATTATGTTCCTCTTCGCTGGTTGTTATGTCAGTCAGAAACAAATATTTTATGGTTCAACAAGATTGCCGACTGATCACAGGTCAAGGTCGATAGAGCAGCGTTCTTGTATTTTGTCAATAAGTTCCCAAGGTTGTTATATCAAAGGTTATGGTCACGAAAGTCGCGTTTACTTTCCTATAATTTGTAGACAGTTTGAAATGACATTCTGGAGCAAGTGAGTTCTGTATTGTATATGTCTATATTTAGAGCACATAGATTATAATGAAATGGACTGACATCATTGAAAGTCACCTTGAAGTGACCTCTTGATACGACTCTTCACTTTCGCTTACGTATGTAAATAAATTATTTTTTCTTACGTAGTTTGATTACACCAAAAAATTAGCTTTTCTGTCGCGTTTTGGCCAAACCTTGAATTTTCTGAATATCTATCTATGAAAGGATTGTATATAGAAGACACACACGTAGATATGGATTTTTAAAACACATTTGAATGTTGATAGAGGCTCCATACGACTGTCCCGTCCTTCTCGGACCTGCTAGCGATGCTGTAGCGTGTACTATGCGTGTGCGAATTAGGTACATAATTAAAACGGAAGAATTTGGATGTATTTTTCAAATGCATATTTTTGTCCAAAGATATTGTGCATATTCCTAAGCATGCCAATAGTCATATACTTGGTAGGTTTAAACATGGCGTGTAGTTGACGGCCAATCTCATAGAATTTAATCCACCAGCGGAGTTCCTGTGATGCAAATACTAATACTACTAATAATAATAATGTTCAAGGGCTCGAAATTACTGTAAGATATTGCAAAATACCATGGTAACCCTTCCGAAAAGGCAAGAATCAAATAATAACAACAACACCAACCGTAGCAGCAGCAGCAGCAGCAGCAACAAGAAAAAACAACACATTATTCAGTTGTCACCACCCTTTATAATAGAAGTACGTTGACGGTAAGTAAGACCGTACGAGTTACCTCCCTTCACTTTATTGTACTCCACCTGTGATAATCCCTAAAACTTAATTAACTATGCCGACGAAATCGACTGGTTTGTTATTCTAGACAAATATTAACCAAACTTTGCACTTTCAAGAATTAAAAAAGTAATCAATTCTATTCGCTGTATATATCTCTGGTTAAAAATCATATCATAAAAATATCGAAAGACCAAGATTCATATTTTTATCAAAACATATGCATATATATTTACTTATATCTAAAAACGTTATACACTTGAAAAAAAATATGTATGCATTTTTGATTGTAAATCGTGCACAAGAAAAAAAGTTTCATGCTTGTTTGTTTGCCTGTTACTGTTCAAGTTGTTTTGCCTGTTACAGTTCAATTTGTTTGTTTGCCTGTTACTGTTCAATTTGTTTGTTTGCCTGTTACTGTTCAATTTGTTTGTTCCTTTGTCTGTGTTTATTAGGAAGGTCTTTCGCAAGCTCCAAAACAATGTGAACAGTGTCTTGTGATACAATTTCTATATCAGTTACCGGGAGCAGATCAGTTACCGGGGGCAGATCAGTTACCGGGAGCAGATCAGTTACCGGGAGCAGATCAGTTACCGAGAGAAGATCAGTTACCGGGAGAAGGTCAGTTAACGGCAGCAGATCAATTACCGGGAGAAGATCAGTCACCGGGAGAAGATCAGTTACCGGGAGAAGATCAGTTACCGGGAGAAGATCAGTTACCGGGAGCAGATCAGTTACCGGGAGAAGATCAGTCACCGGGAGCAGATCAGTTACCGGGAGCAGATCAATTACCGGGAGAAGATCAATTACCGGGAGAAGATCAGTCACCGGGAGCAGATCAATCACCGGGAGAAGATCAGTTACCGGGAGCAGATCAGTTCAGGGAGGGGGGGATATCCGTCACCAAATGATGTTTATAACTCCGACAATGTATGAAGTATATCATAATATATGCTGCTCTTATAGGAAAAAAACACACTAACGTAATATTTTGCGACATATCAAAGGCGTTTAACAATGTTTGGCACAAGGGTCGTTTAATACAATTGAAAACATGTGGTAAAAATGTGCTTTATTTAATTGGAGAAAAAATATATATCTGATAGGCAACAACAGGCTATTGTTAAAATGAATATTCACATGTAGGGTATACAAAAGCTTGCCGTTCCACTAGTGTATTAGGGCCATTTTTGTTTTTAATATACATAAACGATATTGTTGATAACTTGCATAGCATTTCTCGTCTATTCGCTGATGATTCTTCTTTAATGTACTCTCCGTCTTCTTTTGATGATGTTGAAATGCACCTCAATAGAGATTTAGATAAACTAAACCAATGCTCTGACGATTGGCTTCCAAAATTTAATCCTAAAAAGACAGATGTGTTATTAATATCTAATTCTGGATCCTCACAGCTTTTGTTTGTTGGTGAATTTCTGAGATGTGATGAAAGTCACCGGCACTTAGGTGTAATATTTAGTACAGATGCAATGTGGTCCCTACATATTTCAGAGATACAAAAAGCGTGTTTGAAAAAGTTATCAGTGTTACGTATGCTAATTTTTTGATAAGTAGGAAAACTTTGTTAAGAATATATAAAGCGTTTGTGTTGCCTGTATTGGAATATGCATGTGAAGTATGGTTACTCTGTGTCAGTACAAACACACTAGAACAAAGAATCCTAACTTGAGCCGCTTACTGAAAGAAGAAAGACTAAAAAATGTATTCTTACGTGTAAGCTTCATAACACCTTGACGCCTTCTTTTTTAACTGATATTTCTTCTTCCAGGGTAGGCGAACGAACTACTTACATTGTGAGAAGTGCTCAAAACTGCACTGTTCTTAAATTCCGATTAGCAAGTTCCTTCCCGTCTTATTTTCCATCTACTGATTCAAACATAGTTTATTATCAGTATTAGATAAAAGGATGAGAGGCAAGTTCTTGCAACTTATGAACTCTTGTCCATAAATGAAATTACAAATAATTAATATACTGCACGTGACATATATTTATATTATAAGCATGAAGATATGTAATTCGTAGACGTACAATTATAAGTTTGAATAATTTTGTCAAAAGGAGGAAAAGATGAGATGATATGATAGAAAGAAAAGATGAGAAAAAGAGATAGTATAGATTTTATATCAATTGTATATCCATTCTACATCAATTCCATCTGCTATAAAGTTGTGGAACGATTTAGCAAGTGATGTCGGAGAGCAACCATCCAACAATAATTTAAAACATTTAATTCAACAAAATATCGATTCTTTACCCAACTCCTATTTACTTGTAAAAAAAGAAAATTAAATATTTTACAAAAAAAAGTTACGGCATTCATCTAGTAATTTGAATAATGATTTATACAGAATTAATATGATAAATGATCCACCGTGTGTGTGTGTGGAAATTATTGTTAACGTAGAGCGTTATCTGTTTGTTTGTAGTCTGTAAAGAAAACAACACCAAACTTTATTTGACAGTGTAATGAGATATGGCGATATCACTGTTAATGTGGTTCTTCAAATTTGTATGATGTGGAAAACCAAAATATGTTTCATGCTGTACAAAATTCTATTAAAGACAGTAAAGGTCAAGTCTGTAACAGGTAACATTCAATTTCCTTTCTCCTTCTCTCCTTTCCTGTACTTTTTATTCTAGTTCTTTATCTATACACATTTAATTAATTTTTCGTTATTTCTGTCACGTACATTGTATCGTGTATTAATACAGAGGAGAACATACTAAGTTGTGATAACTTGTGCCGATTGTAATTTTACGATAAAATAAGTTTGGATCGAACTTCAACAAAGGCAGCGATTTGTTCGCGCGGTTTTTTTTTTTTTTTTTTACGTAAAAATTAAAACATGAAGATATATTATTTTCTACTTATATTAACTGCGATGTATGCAGTACATCATCCCTAGTAAACAATCTTTCTATTTTTTAAAATTTAAAACAATTATACGTTACATGTTCTAATGCAAACATAAGAACATGGAAATACTAGTAGCTATATACAGCCCGGCTAATGAAAACATCTCTTTAGCTCTAACGGTTTTAAGTTAGACAAGGAAGCCAGTGACCCCTTATCCGAATCGTAGCGAGGGCATTGAAATAACAACATAGCATACCTATAGTAACTTTGACAAATGTTAATGTCATTCTCTAAGGAAAAAATTGCATACATTATTCTAGAAACGTATGTCGAATTGTTGAACAGTTAGAATCTAATGACCGTGATGATAAAGTAGTTTTTCTTTGAAATATCAACTTTATTTAATTTTACAACAATCGCGAAACAATCTTGCAGGGAAAAAAACCGGATGTACCCGGAGAAAACCGATATGATTGGTTCTTTCGCGTTTCCCCCTCCCCCCTTTTTTCAAGCTAACCGGCGTTATGTGACCACGCTTGGGTTCCCGACAACACTACTCCAACAGTTGCTGGGGTTTTAGATAAGTCTATTCAAAACTTCAAATAAGATATTATGCAATACTGAACAGAAAGTGTTGATGTTGCGTATTTATCTTTAGATCTTACACTACTACATTTGACACGCATGACTGCTTATTATTTTCTTTTCAACTTTAGTTAGCATAATGAATTCGCGTTACAAGTTAATGAATTACTTTAAGTAATTATCTTAATTATGATATTTGAATTCAAAGAAAGACATATCCTCGTATAATTAATAACTTTCGTATCAGAAAGAAAAACTGAAGCAAACGTTTTTTGCAAACTTTAATGATTCTTGGACTTTTTTTACTTATAGTTCATTCCATTATAACAGTTTCAATTATCTATAAATAAAATGCAAACTATGTTTACATGGAGAACGTTGTCTCTGCTGCTTTTTAAAAAAGTTCCATGTGGTAAACAAAACAACACATTAATATAACAAGATCATTGATGCGAACAATGAATGTAACAACTGGTCATTGAATGACGTCATTGGTCAGTGCCCGAGATAAATTACGGTAAATTACCAATGTATCCATCCCCTCAAATGCACCATGAATAATTGGATTTTTTTCACATTTGAATTAAGAAACGATATTTTTTCTTTTTTCCATAATTTTTTGAAAAATAATCTGCATTCAAAAGCCGTTTCAAAGATTTATGAATTAATTGAGTTGAAAAAATAGCGCCGCAAAATATGCCGTGTGCTATTTCTGGAACGGGTTATAGGGCGGGAATCAGTTGTAAAGCCTTCATCGGACCGATGTCATACGATTGTTCCCGATTTCCCCGGTGTTTACCTGTGTGGTAACGACCACTAAAATGAATTCAGAACTTGCAGAAGGTAACTAGGAAAGGTTTTAATAACTATTGTTTTATTAATAACCGTTGAGAATGAGACATTTAGGCACAAAATTTATCCCGACAGATCGCGGACAGGAGGCAGTGTGACGTCACGAGAGCATCAACAAAGTTAGATCTGGTGGAGAACTGCATCACCTACGAGGCTGTCAGAAAATTTTCTTCTTTATTTTCTGCGAGAAAAAATATTCCGGATGGTTGGGCATTGTTTCATTTCCAGGTCCGTGAGTGCGCAAATGACATCAATGTGTTTATCAGCTGATTTTGTTAAGGAGAATGTTCAATAATATCGGCGGGGGACCGCCATCTTGGACTTCCAGCTCTAGCGGGTTGCCAGATCGTAACAAAATTAACGAGGGTAGGCATTGTGATAGCGTGCATCGGGGATCAATCGGGAGCCAGAAACCCTGGCCTTTCATTTCGTGTTTTCCTGAAGTTATATGTGTAGTATTAAGACCGCTAACAGCATTTCTTTCGTTTGTGTTTTGCACCCAACATGGCCCCGAAAAGTCAATCGAGCCCGATTATGCTGACTCGTGTTTACAACAATACCAATTAATTTTCCGAATTCTCTCAGTCAAGGTCGCTGTAAGTCTCTCATATCATTCCTTCATGCCTATAATCTTTGTTTGTGTGTCTCTGTGGATTTATGATAGAAAATGGCCGGGATGTTGTGAAGATATTTTTTCATCTACTCGTTAATTTTCGCCCTGGTCAACAAAACACTGTTTACGTGGTCCGACATAATCTGTCGAGAGAGCCCAGAGGAATTCTCGAGGTCATCTGAGTATTTATGATTGCGTCGAGGTATTCGGATATCGATGTCATTACATAGATTTGTGTGTGTTCAGTTTTCTGTTGTCAAAACAATACTTACATGGGTCTATGAGCTACAGTCATGTTGGAAAGTTGAAGATTTTTCAAGTAGATTTATTTTGTAGCAGATTTGATAGATTCTGCAATATCAACATTCCTGTTTATACTTCTTCTCTAATTTATCATTTCCATTTTGGTGATTTTGTCTTGGTTAAATCAATACCTTTCACCTTCTAATTGGATGGATCATCAATTATTTAGAGTACCTGACATTGTCTCTTTCTCCTCCACCTCCCCATCCTCACTCTCTGTATATGTTCCACTGGGGGAAAGCCACCTAGAGGTTTTCATTCAATAGTTTACCGATTAAGTTTTGTCTATAGATTAGTTGCTATGGATGCATTATGTGTTTTGAACAATATAACAACAAAGTTGCATGTTTCTGCTATTACCACAGTTTTGAATCAGATTCCCAAACTTTCCATTTCGTGAACCTCTTTATTGAGTTTTTCCGAAGAAATGTTGAAATGCGGAACATGAATTTTTCACTTTGAGGGGAATAAGACCATAAAAATTGTTATCATTTACTTTGTTAGAAATCCGTCAGTATCTGATTAATGTTGTCAATGTTATATACTGTATTGAAAGCATTAAACCAAATGTTTGCAAGTCCGATCAAGCTAATTCTGTTCCATGTGTGCACTATTTAATAGTGTAAGATATTCTAGCTCCATAATAACACAATTCTGTCACTGTCATATAAGTTCTTACCTTTATTGTGGATATGAGTGAGTAAATCGGCAATAATCTATTCAATAAAGTTACTTTAGGTTGGGTTCTGTATCTCAGTCAGTAGAACGTTTACCTATGTAAGATGTGGTAGCTCAGTCAGTAGAACGTTTACCTATGTAAGATGTGGTAGCTCAGTCAGTAGAACATTTACCTATGTAAGATGTGGTAGCTCAGTAGAACGTTTACCTATGTAAGGTGTGGTAGCTCAGTCAGTAGAACATTTACCTATGTAAGATGTGGTAGCTCAGTCAGTAGAACATTTACCTATGTAAGATGTGGTAGCTCAGTCAGTAGAACATTTACCTATGTAAGGTGTGGTAGCTCAGTAGAACGTTTACCTATGTAAGGTGTGGTAGCTCAGTCAGTAGAATGTTTAACCGTTGTAAGGTCTGGTAGCTCAGTCAGTAGAACGTTTACCTATGTAAGGTGTGGTAGCTCAGTCAGTAGAACGTTTACCTATGTAAGGTGTGGTAGCTCAGTCAGTAGAATGTTTACCTATGTAAGGTGTGGTAGCTCAGTCAGTAGAACGTTAACCTATGTAAGGTGTGGTAGCTCAGTAGAACGTTTAACCATTGTAAGGTGTGGTAGCTCAGTCAGTAGAACGTTTACCTATGTAAGGTCTGGTAGCTCAGTCAGTAGAACGTTTAACCGTTGTAAGGTCTGGTAGCTCAGTCAGTAGAATGTTTACCTATGTAAGGTCTGGTAGCTCAGTCAGTAGAACGTTTACCAATGTAAGGTGTAGTAGCTCAGTTAGTAGAACGTTTAACCGTTGTAAGGTCTGGTAGCTCAGTCAGTAGAACGTTTACTTATGTAAGGTGTGGTAGCTCAGTCAGTAGAACGTTTACCTATGTAAGGTGTGGTAGCTCAGTCAGTAGAACCTTTACCTATGTAAGGTGTGATAGCTCAGTCAGTAGAACGTTTACCTATGTAAGGTGTGGTAGCTCAGTCAGTAGAACATTTACCTATGTAAGGTGTGATAGCTCAGTCAGTAGAACATTTACCTATGTAAGGTGTGATAGCTCAGTCAGTAGAACATTTACCTATGTAAGGTGTGATAGCTCAGTCAGTAGAACATTTACCTATGTAAGGTGTGATAGCTCAGTCAGTAGAACATTTACCTATGTAAGGTGTGATAGCTCAGTCCGTAGAACATTTACCTATGTAAGGTGTGATAGCTCAGTCAGTAGAACATTTACCTATGTAAGGTGTGATAGCTCAGTCAGTAGAACATTTACCTATGTAAGGTGTGGTAGCTCAGTCAGTAGAACATTTACCTATGTTAGATGTTGAAGCTTAGTTTGTAGAACATTTACCTAAGCAAACTCAGGTGACAATCCAAGTGTGTGGTTCCATGCTCCATAACGTTGATGGATTGTGTTTCTCATGAAGCTGAGAAACAAGGCTGGTCTATGTTGTCATGGAGTAAGTTCATTGGCAAGACATTTTACTCTTAGTTATTCTGGATGACATGTGACAGGTCTTTTATGTTGTTCATTGAGAAACCCCTTTACAAACAGCCTTGGCTGTTGCTTGTTCATAGGGTGGTAAACCATAAAGCAAACGTTGAGGTCCAGGATATTTGTTGTCACTAAATTCAAAGCTGGAAATCAGTGATATGTATTTATTTAATTGAAAAAATAAGACTTTGAAAAGGTCATATTATATGTGAGTCAAGATGTTTACTTTTTCGTGGTGAAGCACATACACAAAAGTTTTACCAAAACATAAAGAGAAAAAAAGTAAAGGGAAAATTTGTTTTCCTCAAAGGCTGATTTTTGATAAGTTCCTAATTATCACAATATGACAAACTTATTATTAGCTACTGTTTACATATATCCCATTATACATAAGAAATTAGAATGTTTCATAGCAAAAATTAGACGTCTGTTTTATGATAAGTACACCGAAGTTGATTTTTCATTCTTACAAACAGATGTGTTGGGGGCCAAATCGAAGTATTCTTATATAATTCTTGGACATGGCCTGTACTTGGGAGTCATGTATTCATATTGTATGTAACAAACTTAGCTTGGTTTGTTGGCAATGTGTCAATTTCTGGTATAAATCAATAAGACATGCAACAGTCGATGGTGGTGAATTTCATTTGAGTTATGGAAAAATGGTAGACCTTTGATCAGATTCAATTGAATGGTTTTATTTATGTCTGGATGTTTGGAGGATAATGTCTTTGGGGATAGAAAGAATGATCACATAGAACTAACATTGGTTTGTACATCAGCATGCTTTGGAACAAAAAGAATGACATGTCTGCATATTTCTTATCTGCTGCCATTTATCATATTTTTGAAATGTAAATTTGGAAAAGAAAAGAAAAAAGTGAATTTCATTTCTCGCGATTGGTTAATTGATATATAAAACTTTTTATAAGAATCTATTTAAAGAAGTTTATTTTTAAAAGTTCCAAAGAAGAATTTAAATATCTTTCATTTGAAATTAAATTAGTTTTCAAACAAAAGACTGATCTACTTAAAAGTGTAAGTCAAAGATTGAATATTTGGTTTTGTAGAACTCTTTTACTTTTTCATCGAGATACAGAAATGAAAGATGCAGTTAAATTATTGATTAATACGTTAGGTGGCAGTGCAGTTTATTTGTTGGGAGACCGGAAGTGTGGGTGGATTGATTGCTCATAGTATTCCTGTTCTGGTCAGCTGACACATAGTTTCACACGTATAGCCAATCAGTATTGTATTGCAATGAAATGGCTCTCTTATTGCTGTCTTCATTATGGTCACTATGTGATCAATCTAACACCCTTTTCCACAGCTATTTTTCAAACTCCAAATGATACTCATTCATGTAATTGGGGGTATAACATTAAAGATAATTTCTTGACTTCACAGTTCAGGGCTTTATTTCACTGGTTAAGTTTCACATTTTTCACTCGTTTTGGGTAGTAAATTGGTGAATTGAGATGACAATTAATAGAATATTGCAGATTTTGGGAAATTGGCTTAAGTATGAAATAATTTGATTGGGAATGGGACCCATTATTGGCCCCTAGAAGCCTTAAAATAAGAATGTATTTTCATATTGTTTGCCTAAAGGTTGATGTATTAATTGTATCTATTGAGTCATGTATTGAATGAAAGTAAAATGATCAAACATGACTGGAAGTTGCTTTCGGCTGTGGACATAGTTTATTCTAGACAACATTACTTTGAGAATGCTACCAGCAATCTCTGTCATTGTCTGTTGACAATTTTATAACTGCTTTACTGAATTATGGAAACATCAATTGCAGTTGTCTGATTTTGTTTTTTCAGCTGCAGCTGTCAACAATAGCATGGACAATGTAAACCTACAGAGTCTGGACCCAAGAAAGCAAGAATTGTTGGAAGCCAGGTTCTATGGAAGTAGGGTAAGGAACGTTGATTGTTGGAAAGCAGGGTTCTCTGGTAAGAATCCCTGATTGTTGGTACTAAGATCTGCCAGAGCGGTTTTCTGGTAGACCCCAGTAAGCAGGATTCTAGAGTAAATATCCTTGATTGTTGGTAAGTGAGGTTCTAGGGTAAGACTCCCTGATTGTTGGTAAGGAAGGTTCTAGGGTAAGAGTCTGTGATTGTTGGTAAGTGAGGTTCTAGGGTAAGAATCCCTCATTGTTGGTAAGGAAGGTTCTAGGGTAAGATTCCCTGATTGTTGGCAAGTGAGGTTCTGTGGTAAGATTCCCTGATTGTTGGTAAGTGAGGTTCTAGGGTAAGATTCCCTCATTGTTGGTAAGTGAGGTTCTGTGGTAAGATTCCCTGATTGTTGGTAAGTGAGGGTCTAGGGTAAGATTTCATGATTGTTGGTAAGTGAGGTTCTAGGGTAAGATTCCCTGATTGTTGGTAAGGAAGGTTCTAGGGTAAGAATCTGTGATTGTTGGTAAGTGAGGTTCTAGGGTAAGATTCCCTCATTGTTGGTAAGGAAGGTTCTAGGGTAAGATTCCCTGATTGTTGGCAAGTGAGGTTCTGTGGTAAGATTCCCTGATTGTTGGTAAGTGAGGTTCTAGGGTAAGATTCCCTCATTGTTGGTAAGTGAGGTTCTAGGGTAAGATTCCCTAATTGTTGGTAAGGAAGGTTCTAGGGTAAGATTCCCTGATTGTTGGTAAGTGATGTTCTATGGTAAGATTCCCTGATTATTGGTAAGTGAGGTTCTAGGGTAAGATTCCCTGATTGTTGGTAAGTGAGGTTCTATGGTAAGATTCCCTGATTATTGGTAAGTGAGGTTCTAGGGTAAGATTCCCTGATTGTGGGTAAGTGAGGTTCCGTGGTAAGATTCCCTGATTATTGGTAAGTGAGGTTCTAGGGTAAGATTCCCTGATTATTGGTAAGTGAGGTTCTAGGGTAAGAATCCCTCATTGTTGGTAAGTGAGGTTCTAGGGTAAGATTCCCTGATTGTTGATAAGTGAGGTTCTGTGGTAAGAATCTGTGATTGTTGGTAAGTGAGGTTCTGTGGTAAGATTCCCTGATTGTTGGTAAGTGAGGTTTTAGGGTAAGAATCTGTGATTGTTGGTAAGTGATGTTCTAGGGTAAGAATCCTCCATTGTTGGTAAGTGATGTTCTAAGGAAAGATTCCCAGATTGTTTGTAAAAAGGATTCTATGGTAAGGATTCCTGACATTTGGCAAATAGGGTTCTGGAGTAGGAATCTCTGATTATTGGTAAGTGATGTTTTCAGGATAGCTATAACAATTTGATTACCAAAAGATTCGGAGCTGTATAACCTGAATGAAAGTGGTCATATAGATTAGAGCTAGCTGTCCCTAGCAGTTTGGATCTGGCTGTGAATTTAATCATGGAACTTGGATTGCAGATATGAACTTCATTGCTTCACTTTCAGATAGATTTACTAAACAAAATACAATAAGACAAATAATTCAGACTTTAAGTGATAAAGATAGCAGCTGTAATTTTCTGGAGCATGATGCTTAGTGTATGGATGAATGTGGAATTATCTTATCATTTAACCTTTTCTGATGTGATGATTGTTTGTAATTTTTTATAAAAGATCATCAGTACCATAACATTGCGTTTTAGCAAAAAACAAAATTTATGCAATGCATAATAATAATGCAAATTACCTATGATATACATTAATGAGTCGATACAAAAAGAGAGATGGTTGAGATTGTCACAGAGAACATTTCTATGAATATTTAACACGCAGTCAGTCATGTCATTGATTAACTATGTCGGAAAGCTTTTCTGATTTTAATGGATAATTGGTGATGGATTTTGAAAGATTTCCCATCACTAAATTGATGCTTATGTGATATTCCTATGTTATTGTTAGAAATAAAGCTTAACTTGTCAGTAAGTTAGAATGGCCCTAAAATTTTGGCACTTCGCATCTTTGAAGCTCCATTAGTTCTTACAGACAAAGCGATTTGATCAATAGGGAGATTTCAAAGGCGTTGTCTACATTCTTGGAATCTATTTTTGTACGGCACTAGACAAAGTGTATAAGGATTGAAATTACATTTTGTCTATACTTAAAAATTTAGATGCCAGTTATTTAATTATTATATTTTGTTTCAGTTTCAGCCTCTGAACATTGCACCACAGCAGGACAACAGCAACCTTAGCGCTGGCTCAGCAGAGAGGGATGACGAGGTAAGATCCTGACAGCTCCAGGGACACAACTACCTTATAAGTTGTACCTGCAAAAAGATGATCACAAGAGTCACTCCAACGAAACTTATTGATCACCAATATAACACCTGCATGTCGTTGAAACCCCATACACAACATAAATATGATTATAACAGTGTGTTTGGAATAGCCTTAAAAATTGTCTTCACAGTTTCTCGTATAATTGGAGATCAATAACTGATCTACTGAAGTACCCACTAGAATGAGTAAAACGTTACAATGTATTTCAAAATGTTGAGCTTTTTTCTTAAACATTGTTTTAAGGCATTTGATGATATCATTGAATTAGTTTGTAAAATTGAATATGAATCATTCAGGTTTGCTCAAAATCTCTCAATCTTGTTGTCAAACCATTATAAATCGTAGAAAAAAATTCATGATTTATTGAGATCATTGAGGTGAAATGACACATCAGTTCAGTATTTGTTCTAAAATGGTACAGTGATATCTAAAAGTAAATGCACAATTTTGATAATAAGTGGAAGCCCAGATAACTCTATCAGTAGAACATTTGGTATTGCGATCACTGGTCAAGATCAGAGTTGCGTGGTTCGGACCATGCCTGGGTTTCTTAGAAAGCTGGGATCAGGGGACTGTCCTTTGCTGTCGTGGTTATGTCATTTGACAAGGTACTTTACCCCTTCTGCTGTTGATAGCATGCTGCGAGATAGGTGGTTAGTGGAGTAAGCCTCCTGTTACTGCAGGAAAACCTTGTCATAAAATTACCCTTAGCTGTTCAAAGAGTGAAAAACCAAACAGACAATCAAAAAGCCCAAAGCCAGCTTCCTGAAATAAAATGTACATGATGAAAAAGAGGTGGAAATAAAACCATCTGCATCACTCGTCTTACGACTTTTATATGGCAGTATTATATTTATTCGCTGTTATATATAAATATGGAAAAAACAATGTAACTTTGCAGTATATATTTGGCTACTGTTGCATCTTTGACATAATCATAGTCAAGGTTTTTGCTGCAAAATTCATTACAACATCTATAAATGACACTACTCTTGAGTCTTGACACGGAGATAATGTATTTAAATTATGCAAAAAACCCTGAAAAACTTGAGAAATCCAGTGAGACTTGTCAGAACAACTGAAGATTAGGGACATTTATAGTGATGGGAATCTGTTCCCGTTTGGTAATCGATAAATGACTACACAACAGTAATGCATTAGTTAGATTGTGTCAAGAATTAATTGCAAAATTGTTGAATTATCTGTTGACAATATTTTACTGATTACCCTGCATAGAAAATTTGTGAATTTTTGAAATCAGCGTTTATTAGAAGTCTTGAATCTGTTACTTTATCAAAGTTGGTAAAAACCTCTTATTGAATATCAAGATTAAAATCATGTCAAGACTGCTATTTTTAAATTATCTGACAATTGGCAAACTTTGGAGTAACCATTCTTGATATCTCTGAGTCATTCCTGAACTCTTGCAATAAATTGTCTTTGCAATTAATTTGTTTCATTTTCATAATAAGTTTGGAATTATTTTCAATTATCTGCCGGTCACTAATTATGTATAAGCTTTTATAATTCAGTACGTATAGTGATGGTAAAAGTATGGAAATTTGCAATTAATTTGTTTCATTTTCATAATAAGTTTGGAATTATTTTCAATTATCTGCCGGTCACTAATTATGTATAAGCTTTTATGATTCAGTACGTATAGTGATGGTAAAAGTATGGAAAATGTACACTTCATTGAAAGAATTTCACTCTTTAGAACCAGAATCAAGATTCTGTCTTCCTAATATTTCTGTAAAAAAAAGTATTCCTCACTCGTATGGTGAAACAATGGTCAATGTGATGACAACCATTAGATGTAGCTCTATTTATATGAAAGGAGATTTACTTATAACTTATCCTGAAATTCATTATGGCTGCCAGCTGCCATTTTGTCACACTTGACTTTCACCGTATGACAAGGTCTGATTTCAAGATTGGATTTGAAAAGGGTCACTGTCATCTGAAGGTCAACCAAATGGTATTCCCTTGGTTCTCTTAATTCCTTTCTCATTAAGACCCCTTTGTGCTTCCTTCTAGCCGACAAAAATGGTTGATTCTGTTTAAAATTTTTGTGAAATAAAGTGATTTTTAATATATGATAATTTTTCAAATGGTTTAACTGTGATATAAATATGAGTTTAAAATTGAAGTAAGGTTTTGAATTTGATTTACTTTTCAGCTTTCTGGAGTGGTCCACACACCAGAGAAGCATGCTCGGACTCCATCAGAGAGGAAGAGGAAGCGAAAGGCCACCAGTGAAGGCACTGAAAGCAGTAAGTCACCAGAGCTCTAGTGAGGCCCTATTAGTCAACTACATGGTTCATCACAATGGCTACAAAGTCCCAGGGGCTGTTCGGATTACTCCTAGTTCAATATACCTAACCCATGCAGATTTAGGCATAAATGCTATGTCTCCTTTTTGGTATCTATTGGAAAGATTAAAATTGAACAAATCGGTGGCACACTTTCGATGGTGTTAACCATTGGATGGAGATTCGGTAAATTCAAATTTGGATAGCCTTTGTTACAGGTTTTTATCTGACAATAAGCACATATCTGATAGTAATCTGTTGTTTTTCTATAGAATTACAAAGAGATGATGCATTTCATAGTCTTTGTCACATTACCTCGCCCCATGAGAGAGGTTTCTGTTTTGATTATCCCCAACCCCGCCCATTTTTTCTAGGATCATTACAGGATGAAGATGGTTACAGAATACATAAACCCACTCATGTGTATTAATTGTGCAGTAGGGATGCAAACATGTTTTTTTAGTGTCCTGCTATAAACCTGTCCCCCTTATGTTTCTATGTCTCGTTGGCCTTTGTTTTCCAGATGATAAATTGTGATAGGGTTGACCATTTGTATTGAGATTTGGTGAAATATTTATGGTGGGATTGAGTTAGGGGGAGTTTGTCAGATTAACATCAGTAGTCTTCTGACCAGTATTCAAGGTCTTTTTTCTTGTGTATACAGACAGTGTAACTAGAATGATTAAATTTACCCTTAAAGGTCGGACACAAAGTGGGGTCCTTTCTGACAGTGTTTTAGTTTTCAAGATAATTACGTAATTGAATTAGCAATGACAAACTTGATTATGACTTCATATAGTACTAAGCACAAGGGAGTGCATATGAAGCTTTTGAACGTGTTATTCTCTGTTTTGTGCATCCTTCTGGTCAAGACACTGGTTTTAGAGGGAGGGCGTTCATGTGTTAAATTGAAACATCTGTTCATTACTATCAAAGTCTATATTGCTTCAAAAACTTGTGTTCTGTGCAACTCTAACTGCAAACTTCTTCTAGATATAAACTCTTACCATTGTAACAACTTGAGCTTAAAACTCCATTCTAAGTACAGTTGAAACTCCTAAAAATTCTGTTCCATTCAAATTAAATTTGGATGTGAGTCAAAATTTTGGTTAAGTCAGAGCAGTTTTTTCAGTCCCTATAATTGCTAAGCAAGGGAAAAGTCATTAGTTGTCTCAATAGTAATTTTTGTCAAAACAACAGCAGGTCTGCTGAGGAAATCGGTCATTACATACACAGATTAGAAAGTCACCTGTGCATAACACATGGCTAATTACGGCGTTTTGGTCCAATGTATGCACAACACCTGGTCTCTGGCAATTAATTACCAGTTGAATTATCCAATTAAAGGTAGGCTTCTTAATCAGTGTCACCATCCTGTAGCAGTGGGTTAACTGTATGTTGAAAATGTAGCGCATTTACACAAAACATGAAAATATTGAGCTCGGTTATGTGCATCTTCAGGAACGATTAAAAAAACTGAAACTGTCAAACCAGTACAAATTTTTGACAAAATCTGATCCCCACAATTCCAAGAAAAACTAATTTTGAGCTTGTTTACTAAAGTACTATGATCAGGCACTTTGTCGTATTTAGTGTTTGGACAGTGAAGTGCTGAAAGTATTTTTTTGTTGATAGGCCTAGAGTCTACATCTGTGCATGATTTGTTAAAATTTGTGTAACAATTTACCAACATTCATCTCAAAATGAGGCAAAAATACCCATTCCAAAATAGCGGAGGAAAAACTAGCTATGTCATAATTGTTTTGTGTTGAGTTACAAAAGGATCTGATGACAACATCACTTATTTTTAAAGTGAATGTGGCGTCAGAAACGTAAGATTGTGCCTCAATAAAACGGGTTAATTGCATGAAGTGTTCTTGGGCTGAGTTTAATGATGGCACTGTCTGAGAACAGCTGTGTTCTTCCTCTTTTTCCTTACATTCGGAATCCTGTTTTGAAACAGATCTCACAATATCGTCCTCAGAAATTTCAGCAGTTTAAACTAGATTGTTGTCAACACTGACAAAATCTGCCATTGACACAATCATGTGATTATCCTCGCTTTCATTTCCTACCTTTCGGATCGATTCAATGAGGCACATAAGGGGCACTTCATCATCTTAACCAGGGATATAATAACTTGGTACTTCGCAGTATTCAATCATTTTATTTTACCTGTAGAATTAATGTACTAATCTAATTAATGCTTCAATTATCCTTTCGGGAGTCCCTTTATATCACTACACAGAGGTCAATGTTGCATGAAGAACATAAGATGAGAAAGTGTACAGGTAACTTCATTAGCGATTCTTTACGTGAGTGTTAAAAAAACCGCAGAAATGAAGTAGGAGAGGGGATCAGAATGAGTTTGTCAACAACAAAGATTTGTTGTACGTATGGTTATACTACTAATAATATATAGTGATGCAGGCGGGGAATTGTCTAAAGTTTGTTAAATACAAAAAAATTGTACAAACCGAATTTGTTATTGCTGTGATTGACTGTATCAGTTCTCAGTTCTAGACCAAGGGTCATGTGTGGGTTTCATGCTTGTTTTACTTAAGCTGGTACAGTGCTTTCACAAATAATGTTCTTGCTGGGAAGTATCTTTCAGGTCAGAAGGTTAAGATTCAGTGGTATCATTAATGTTACTATACAGTGTGCTGTAGTTGTGTCAGTTCACCCAAACGCGATAGGTATCATATTGCTATAAATACCTTCTAATTCAATTTTCAATATTTCTTCTAGGTTATTTCAATACGATACATTGCATCAGTTAATAGTCACTCAAAATAGCTGTTAGAGATATCAAATAATGATTGTAATTAACAAAGGCAGATTGATAAGTTGTGAGTCTTGTATTAAAAGACAGGGCTCTCACACCCCATTTTGGGACTGGGGCCCGGGACCCTTAGCATTGGGAAAAATAACGGTGTTTTCTAAGAATTGGGAAAACTAGGGGTCTTAATTGGGAAAAAAAGATACTATTTTGCATTGGGATTATTCGGCCCCAAAGCTGGCAGATCGAGATCCCTGAAAGAGTGAAGCAGGGATGTCCTTTTTTGGCTCTACTAATCTCTGACTATTCAAGGCTGTGTATTCTAAAACTGGTGTCATTTGGTGTTATTATGTTGAAGAGGTAGCACATTAAAGTAAACAAGGCAAGTGATTTTGGAGAATGGACAAAATCATTGAAAGAGCAGTGGTTAATATTTGCATAAGAAAGTCTAGCAGCTAAAGATATCCATACTGATACGGTAGCAACACTAGAGAATGATGTCCCTTCATGTGCTACAGTGGAAAGTTGGGTGGCAGGCAGAGCCTCGGGGATGATGCCCATCCTGGAAGGCCTGTCACTGTTGCAACCCCAGAAAGGGTCAATAAAGTCCATGGTATTGTTATGGTTGACAGGCAAGTTACAGAGAGATATATGGCCGGTACTGATGGGATTTCACAGGAAAGAATACATTCTATTCGTATGGATAATCTTACAATGAGAAAGCTCTCAGCCTGTTGGGTACCAAGACTTCTGACAGTTGATCAGATGCACAAAAAAGGCAAAGACTGTTCCTCAGCTGGAAAGGTTATGACCTCAGTTTTCTGGGATACTGATGATATTCTGATGGCAGATTATCTGCAAAAGAGACAAGCAATCAGTGGCACATATTTTGCATCACTTCTTAGGCAGTTAAGAGAAAAGGTTAAACTCGAGTACTGTGGGAAACTCTGTAAAGGTGTGTTGTTCCACTAGTACAATGGCCCTGTTCAAAGTCTTGTCATTGCCATGGTTGCCATTAAAGATTGTGGCTTTGAATTGATTGAACATCCACCTTATTTGCCAGATTTCGCTCCATCAGACATTCATCTATTTCCAAAATTGGAAAAGGTAATTTCTGATACCTACTTCCGGTCAGATGATGACATACATGCAGTGAAGAGCGTTCTTAATGGTCAAGAAAAGGAGTTCTTTAAAAGTGGCATTGAGGACCTTAAACATCGCTGGCTAAAACGTATCGTTACAGATCAGTACATATTGCTCATCTGCTTCTTCATATTGGAAGGTCCAAGTTTAAGGTCAGTTTTCATTCAAAATAATTTCCTGTGGCACATCTTACCTCAAAATATATGGAAGCATATTCTCTTGTATATATTGCAATTTCAGATGAACTCCTTGAAGTAAGGGCCTATTTTCAAAAAATGTTTCGAATGATTCAGAAAATTCAAAATTGAGCTCAAAAGAATGATCCATTCAAAAAATATTTTCTGAAGTGAAAAAATGCTATCAACAGCTGTTATGAGTTAGTCATATAGTCAGTTTCATGATTTGTGTCTACTCCTGGAATGTCTGTTAGCCCTAACTATTTCTTGGTCTTCAGTAAATGTGAGTTTAATCGGAAAACTTTGTCATTACAGGATTGCAATTGCAATGTTACATCTCAAACATTGTTTCGGTTTATTCTATCATAGCCATCTTAAGATAATGTATTCGTAATGAAGGCATGTCACGAAGTTGTTACCAGATTCTTGATTGAATGAACCTCCAGGTGATTTACTGTACTGTACTGTAATAACAGTACCAAAAGGTCCGAACCATATTCTTCATAAGGCCATTGGATTACTCATGAAGTTTGAAAGAAAAAAATAAAACCTTATGACATGTGACAACATCTCTTTATTTCCATTGTTACAGCATTTATTCACAGTAATAATACACCGACACTTTAAATTCCCTCGTTTTAAACTATCAATTATATGGATTGGAAATACCTAACGTTTACAAAATTGAAAAATTCCTTGACTGGTGTGACGTAGACTGGTGGAAACTTAAATTGAGATTACTCTAAAGGCAGCTATTTATAAGAAAAATGGGGAGACAACTTTGCTTATGAGGATCAATTGAAAATTGTGGTGTTGATATGTAAAACTAATTTCACAGTTTTAAAGACATGAAAAAAGACAAG